AATTTCCAAGCTGGTGGAGCATCAAATAGCACGAGAAGAACTGCTTCCATACGATGGCTTAAGTGCACATCCCAGTCTTTGACAAATTCGACAGAATGGACTCAAGCAATAGCAAACAATGAATGTCCTCAGTATCAGGAACGCCGGCAACAGTTTCCGCGATCCAGGCCAGACTCCAAAGAACGATAGGCGCGCATTCCCCATGGCGAAACCGAAGCCTCATGACCTGCCAGTAGACTCCAATCACGTCAATCGATCTGCTTATCCGTTCATCACGCGGCTGCTCTCTGCAATGCACCCCAAAACCCCTCAATTGTTTGTCTTTGAGGACCAAAGTAGCCCAGGCGAATCACGCAACATCGCTTGGACTCAGCATATCTGGGCTCGACCCTCTAGAATCGGAATCGACTAATCGAGCCCCCATGAGCCCGCATCTCCGGGCACCATCACTGCCAAATGCTCGACCTTCCCGTTGAGGCAAGATAATGCTAGGGAACCCGATCCTTTGCTACAACCCCCGTCCCAAATTCGTCTGTATCGTAGCCCCTAGGCCCATAGTCCATCTCAAACGAACGGCACTCGGCCGCCACAAAGAAATTACATATCAACGGCTTCTGACTCACCTTCACCGCCATTCGAGACCGCCCACTACAAACACTATTCTGTCAACTGGACCCTGTCACCTTCCACCACCACCAACTCGACACGGCTACAACTTGGACAAGAAGCTACCACCCGATGGCTGCAGCCCTCTGGAGGGAAACGCCAATGGGTATTGTTTCTTGGTCTCATCCTGTGCATACATGCAGCCGGCTGAAGCACACAATGGCATGGTTGCGGGGGTTGAAGGCGCTACAAATCAACCATCACCGTCCCGGTAGCCCATGATTGGCCCAACCATTGTTCGATAAGAGGCGGGCCTCGCGTGTTCAACGGCTTGCAGCACGCAAGCCTGCAATGATGGCTTCGGCGTTGCGGCGGCTCCGAGCTGTGCACCCACTTACTCAACTCCGACCTGTCCTACTCCTGGCCCGGGGAACCGTTCCCTCTCTCAAGCGCAGGGTCGTCGACGAAGCCCTGTCACTTCTCTCCTCTTTTGACGTTACAGCGCAGATGCGGTCAGGAAGACGAACTACTGTCCGGGGAACTCTAAAGTACATCATATCATCCTAGCTATCGACTACCAGCTAAGGTAGCTCCGGTCTACCTACCTATGGCACACCCATTGCTAGACTTCATCCACTCGGATTGCTTGCCCTCGCAGTCTTCCTATCACTTTCACAGGTCAAGAGCCGCTCTCTTTGCAAGACTGTGATGCCTCCTTGTTGACCGACAGAAAATCAGTCATTTTTGTATCTGTACATCGCACATCTTGGCGGCTTTTGTCCGTGCCCACCTGGGCGATCGGCCTCTTCTTACTCGACCAGATCCTAGCCACAGGATCACATTATCAATCAGATAATCTTTCTGTCAGGGGATCGCTCCTCCAATATATGTCCCCATCGTCTCCTGATGCCAAGAAGCGTTGTGTAAGGCAACACGTGTGCCTTCCATCCCAAACTCTTCACTTCCGTTTTCTCGGGTCTCGCCTTCAATCTCGATCATCGTCTGAGTCCAGGAATGAGACCTGCCATTCACTGTGTGCTGCAAAACGGAGTCAGGCATGTGTATCTCAGGAGACGTCTGTATCCCTTGGCTAGGAGACTGCTCTGTAGCAGTATCAAATAAAAAATATGGCGGAGCAATGGAATCTGAGACACACAATCTCATTTCTTGCGAGTCACGATTCCCTTGGCCGGCAAGTCAACGGTTCCCAAGACAGGTGACCGCGCGTCGGTACTCGGCAAGCCCCTTGCGATCCCATAGCTGCCGGTTTCTTGTGTTTTCCTCTTCTGAGTAGAGTAGGCTACGGATACATCACCTAGATGCCTCCAGATTTTGATTTGCGGCATCTGCCGCTAGGTAATTTGCCGTGGTTGGTGATGTTTGTTCCGGCGCGACGTACGTAAATCTCAACGTCGACAAGCCAGCCATCCAATTCCCTCTGTGTGTCCGATCTTCGCATGCATATCTAGTAGAAGACAGAGCGTCAACTATAGCGGTGACATCACTTGTCCGAGCAGATCTTTCGGTGATTCCTAGATACAAATCGCCTAACCCACCACAACTTCTGTAGAGCCTTCAAGTTCAAAGCACACCTCAACCCAGCCGCCACTAAGCCGTCAAATTTTGAACCTAGCAGAGGTCATCAAAACAGACACAACGCCAGGCGTAACCTAAGGCAGTCCTAGAATTCTACCGGTCGACGCCCTCAAGAACCCATCTCAAGCGTAGACGCGGTGACGCGCTACCCATACTCGAGGCTGGCCAAGAACAGTTTGGCCTGCCCCCCCCCCCCCCCCAACGCCGAGACACTCACAACTCCCCTAACCCATGATTTGGTACCATTCATTGGGCAATGCCTCTGCTTCATTCGTGCCGAGAAGCGAAGCCATTGTCGACACGACTAGGCCACCTTCACCATGCTGATTAACGTCGGGGAGGCGGAGGATCACAGTATGCAGGCGCGAGGCGGGACGTAACCCGGGCCCAGACTCTGTGTGTGCAAATCGTCATTTTGCGAGGAGGCCAAGAGGAACTTTGGTTTTCGTAAGTGTTGTGATTGTTGTACTTTCACCCTTGTCATGCCGTTGCCCGCCCGCTGTCGTGGTCACGAACGAGAGCCCACAAGGCGAGCCTGCAGGACGATGAAGAGACGCCGGCGAATGGCGGTTCTCGTTAATATGCTGACGTGAGTTTTTGATATGGACTCTGCAGGGGGGAAATATTTTGGCTAATCCAACAATGGTTTCGCCGGGGGTAGGGGGGTTTGGGAGATATCGACCTTCTTGTTGTAGAGTCCCTGTCTTCCCCGTGTGGACCGTTTGTACGTGAATCCGAGGGGCGAGGCGAGGCGAGGCGAGGCTAGTCAGCATGACACCGCGTCGTGATAGGAGAGGGGCCCGAGGAGTTTGGGGGCCAAAGAGGGAGATAAGATCCCTAGAGAGTACGAGCCTCTTTTGTTGGTCCTCTCGTCGTGCAGAGATCAAGTTGTGACTTGCTTACGCATTCCGGACCAAACGCTCTTGAGCTGCGGCAGGTGACATCTTCATCTCTCTAGGATATTCGTTTCCCTAGAGTCGAGATATACAATGATAGACGAACAGCAATCGAGAGGCTGTACTTCGGCTGGTACAAGAAAAGGACAGAGATATGCCACGATCCAATAGACTGCGCTCGACAACTTCGTGAACCGCGACATCACAGATAAAAGTTTGGCTTTGCCCTCTTTGTGCCTTTGAACGCGGGTGTGACGGCGTGAAGATTTAGCTTCTCTTTCGATCCCCCAGAGTTCACTACATGAGAGAAAGACATCTATGACCGGTGCTCAAGTATCTAACCAAGGCTGGGTTATTTCTTCAAGGACCACGTGTTTCACAACACCTAGGAAGACCGCCAAGAAGAGGTACTTTGGCCGTGGCTACCGTTCGAAAACCAGTAGCAGCAAGCTCTGCTCGAGCTAGTAATCTATAAAAGCGTGACAGGACTGCGATGCGGGAGGCAGGAGCAGCAGCAAACGGAGGATCAAGCAGCCACAGGGACCGCGCGAGCAGGAAAGGTGAAGTGGAAGCAGGTCTCTAATTATTCGAGGTAAATCCCAATGTCCTACATCAAGCAAAGGCAAACTCCGGGTAATCATCTACTATATTGTTCATCGTCGCACACGGACGTATTCGTCGTGTCGAGTGTTAGGAGGACGGCTAGGGATACAAGGTAGCTGGGATAAAGGAAGATGGCTTTGATGAAAGAGGATAGCTAAGACATGAGACGATAACGAGTATAAAGGAAGATAGTTTATAAGTATACGACCGCAAGATATTAATTAACGCGTCCTGATATTCTATGTTAAGTTGAGGTAAGCTACGTCCAACACTGTTACTACTGTTGTCTCAAAGGTTAAGTCAACTATTTTAACCGATCTTTACGAGGATATAAAGTCTTTCACTTCTTCGTTCATCTTTACACACATTCACATTTATCCTGTCGAGTTAAACGGAGGCTGGTATAGGGGAAGATAGCTAACATGTTCTATTTAGACGAGCAATAACAACGATGTTTTGACTCAGCTATAAGGCAGAGGACGATACATATATGGAAACTTTAAGACGTTGCTTTTGCTATCCTTGATGTCTTTGGTGAGAATTTTCTCTCTTCCTATACACTCTTGACAGATCTCAGATTCTCTTCAATAACGACTGTAAAAGGATGCTGGATAGGAGCTCACTCGCTGAAGCTGGAATAAAGGAACACTGCTCTTATACCAAGTACGACGATCAACGGAAGCATTTGGCCTAGTCATTAGTAGAGGATCAGGGTCCGTCAAGCTGACGTCCCTTCCAGTACGGAAACGTCGGTCGCTAATCGGGCCACCGCGACCAAAAACCATGCCTTACTGTATATCTTTTGAATAGGGTCCCTGTGGTGCAAGTACATGATACACATGATATAGAGGACATCACCGGTCACGGCATCCAGATGCAGACACATGGAGGTAAATTTAGGGGTGCGTGGAATGGATTTGTTCGCATACATGGTTTTAGATACAATACTCTACAGCGCGTAGTCTCGGTAGACGGGCGCGGACGGGATACTTGGACTCACGACATGTTCTGTCGCAATCTGCAGTAACCTTGTCGTCCTGCCGTTCTTCATCGAGATGCTCCGCGAGAGCGGCATGCCCGGTTCCTAATGCTACCTTGAACCCATCACCGTGTAAACCCATTGCTTTTGTTCTCCAATAGTTGAAGACATCATCATGACTTTTTTATAATAATGTATGCCGTGTTATTACACAGGAAGCCACCATTCGTATAATGGCCGCTGGAAGCCTCGCGTAAACAAAGGAAGAAGCTTCAAAATATATGAAAAGGGGATATGTCGGTCGCGTTGACTGGCAATATTTATCCCATAATCATGCCCTTCATGCCAGACAGGTCACCCTCCTTGGCAGCAATCTCGAAGTAGCCGTAGATGATGCTAAGTGCTCGTTAGAAATGGTTCTTGTAAACTTTGAACAGAGACAGAAACTTACGTGACAGCCAGGAGAGTACCAGTGCCGGAGCCGAGGGCGCCCATGAGGTCGCTGGCAACGGAGAGAGCACCGATGCAAGCACCGCCAAAGGCAGCGGCAGTGGGAATGATGCGCTTGAGCTCCTTGTACATGCTCTGGTCGCGGTGACCGGCCATGACAAGACCCTGGTCCTTGAGCTGCTTGGCGACATCGCGGGGGCTGGAGCCGGAAACCTCAATCCAGGTCTTGGAGAAGATGGCGCAGGCACCCAGCATGTAGACGATGTAGACAGCGGTGTGGATAGGGTCGAGGAGGGCGTCCTTGAAGTTCAAGGGGGGAGACATGTAGTAAGCCAGACCGGAGATGGCAGAGAGCTGGGCAGAGCCGTCCTTGGCCTCCCAGACACCGAAAAGACGGACGAGGAGGTTGTCAGAGAAGCGGGAGTACAGCATCTGGCTGATGAGGAAGATGTTGGAGGACAGAGCGGACTGCAGCATGATGGGCATGTTGGAGGTGTAGAAGAGGCGGACGGGGTAAGAACCGCGGGCACCACGCTGGCGGGAGGACTTGACGGGGATCTCGACGCGGAAGCCCTGGAGGTAGATGACAGCGGCGAAGACGAGGATGGTGGCCAGAAGGTTCATGATGTTGGGGAGGTTCTGGCGGTAGAAGGCCTCCTGGAGAGCGCGCTGCTTGTTGGGCCAGGTGAGGAGAAGGTGGAAAAGGGCGATAACGGCACCCTCGAACTCGGGGCCACGACCAGTGTTAATGGTGGTGGGGGAGAAGGCCTTCCACATGATGGACTCGCAGATGTTGGTGGCGATGAAGAGAGAGATACCAGAGCCGAGGCCGTATCCCTTCTGGAGGAGCTCGTCGAGGAGAATGACGATCATGCCGGCAACGAAGAGCTGGAGGACGAGGAGGAAGACGATACCGGCGCCAAGGTCGGAAGGTCGGCCGTAGAGACCGGTGAAGACGTAGACAGTGGCGGTACCGGCGGAGAGAATGAAGGCAAAGAGCTTCTGGGCAGTCTGGTACAGCTCGCGGTCGCTCTTGAGGTCGAGGTTGACGTCGATCATGTGGGTACCAGCGAGGAGCTGGAAGACCATGCCGGAGGAGATGATGGGGGTGATACCCAGCTCCATCAGGGTTCCGCGGTTACTCGCCATAACCATACGCAGCCAGTATAGGGGATCCGAGTTGTCGGAAGAGACAATGCCGTAAAGGGGCATCTGGCTCATGACCAAGAAGATAAGGAGGGTGAGGGCCGTCCACATCAGCTTCTGGTTGAAGGGAACCTTGGTCTCCGGCTGCTGAACCTCAGGGAGGAACGGCACGAACGGCTTGACCAGGTCGAGGAACCGTACTGTGATGGGAAAGCGCGTTGGTTAGCCATTGAGTTGTCCTAGTATGATGTGGGTGCTCGTTGGCCATTGCGGAGGCATCGTTGGCGACGAATATCGCGCGCGTGTCCTTTTTGGAGCTATGCGCCCCAAAGCACGCGATTCGCCGAGTTTGACGAGGTTGGGTGGATGAACTTACGGGAACTCATGATGGGCTGTTACACTGGGCAGAAATCAATAAACAAAAGGATTAATTCATCCAGATGAAGAAGGGGAAAGAAGAGAGAGAGAGATGGAGAGCGACAATGGCTCCAGAGGTTGTGGCGAGGGGAGTGAGGAGGAGTGGTGATGGGGAGATGGAGAGAGGAGGTTATTAAGGAGAGAGGGAGCAAGAGGAGCGGGAGGGAAGCCCAAAAAAGAGGGTCGGCTGCGATCTGGCTTCAAAAACGCCAAATTGTCGATGTGTCCAAAATTTTGGTGGAGCTTTGTCAGAACACGTGATGCGTCCAATCACTCAGGTGCCTCTCAAGTGCCTTTACCTTAGTACGTAGAGTACCTATTACCTTAATACCTCCTAAAATGACCTAGGAATTGGGGAATTCAGGGGAGAGCTTTAAGCTGTGCTCCTCCACATTTTCGGCTCGAGCTTCCAGCCAGGGGTCTTCAGGGATCCCAGCGCCCACCCAATCCAGTGCCTGCCCGCTAAACTTTTTTTCTTCTGGCGCGTTCCGACGCATTCTGATGCCACCTGCCTCCCAATCTCCTCCAGATTTCCGAGTACCTAACTGTCACCATTCAGAGTCATCGCAGAGTCACCCAAGACTCACCACCACAGGACACGAAGCAGCATCTGCAGTCGCGATGCTGTAAACCTCCCTCGTGTCCTTTCTCGGTGGTTCTCTGGGTATGATCTTTCGGTCTGTGATAGGCCGAAGGTTCATACACAATGTTGTTGGCAACATGACAGCCCGAAATGCGCCCGCGGAACCCTTAGTGGTTATCTTGGGATCGACCGGGACTGGAAAATCAGAGGTGAGTTGAGGAAGCAGTCGTCTCATTATCATGCGCATTGGCTGACAGTATCTGTGCGCAGCTCGCAGTCGAACTTGCGACTCGCTACAATGGCGAAATCATCAACGCAGACGCCATGCAAATGTACAAAGGCCTGCCCATCATCACGAACAAGATCACCACCCAAGAGCGCCGCGGTGTTCCTCACCACTTACTCGATCACATTGGCCTCGACCAACCCACTTGGATAGTCGAAGACTTCAAGCGCGAAGCGAACAAGGTCATCCGCGAGATACGCAGCCGGGGCAACTTGCCCATCGTCGTCGGCGGAACCCACTACTACACGAATGCGCTGCTCTTTGAAGACACGCTCATCGGCCCTGAAGATGACAAAGCCAAAGAAAGCGCTGCAGACGTCAAGGATGAAGACGCATCTTCGTTTCCGATTCTCAACGAACCAACCGAGGTCATACTCGCCAAGTTGCGCGAAGTCGATCCCGTAATGGCAGACCGGTGGCATCCCAACGACAGGCGCAAGATCTCACGCTCGCTGCACATATACCTCCAACACGGCCGCCCAGCGTCGGAGATCTATGCAGATCAGCGCCAGCGCAAGGCGGCCGATAACACGTCCCGAGGTGGCAATAGTGCAAGCCCTTGGCAGACATTGCTCTTCTGGGTGTATTCCGAGCCTGAAGTGCTTAAGGAGCGCCTCGATAAACGCGTGGATAAGATGCTCACCGTCGGTCTCAACGACGAGACACAGTCCATGTATGAATACGTCCAGGCAAAGGAGGCCGCTGGCCAAGAGGTGGACTACACCCGCGGTATCTGGCAGTCGATCGGCTTCAAGGAGTTTTCGCCTTACCTCAAGGCCCTGAACACCAGCGACCCTGCCACCGATTCAGAGACCTTGGACGCTCTCAGAGCCGCGGGCCTTGAGGAGATGAAGACATCAACCCGACAATACGCAAAGTATCAAACGCGCTGGATCCGTACCAAGATTGTGCCCCTGCTCCAGGAGCAACCGGGTGCGCTGAATCACCTCTTCGTCATGAATAGCACCGACGTGTCGCAATGGTCGTCCAACGTCGCCGAACCGGCCGTCGATATCGCAAAGCGTTTCCTCAAGGGCGAGGCCATGCCCGCGCCTGCGGACCTGTCGGAGACGGCGCGGGAGGTCCTCGGGGAAGCGACGGCGCAAACGGAGCGCACGCTGTGTCGGCGGACGTGTGAGGTCTGCAAGACGACGTGCGTCACGGAGCAGGACTGGACAAAGCACGTCAAGAGCCGGCGGCACAATGTGCTGATGAAGAAGACGAAGAGGAGGGCGCTGGTTGCTACCGAGAGGCCTTTGGCCGTTGTGCCTGCCGAGGCTGAAGCAGAGAAGGATGGCAGCGCAGAGGATCGTGGGTCGAGTCCAGAGGTTGATGGGCTGGGCATGTTTGATGCGCCGTCGTGAGATGGTCAACCTCGTCAGATCAATGAGAGAGAAAACAAAAGACTCGTACTTGAGAACTCTGCTCATGTCTCTTCATCCCATGCTCGTTCGTCTGACCATGTTCGTCGTCTGCTCTACCCAAAGCCATGCGACTTGTGAGGCTCGGCTCGTTCTGGGTCCGAATGCGACATGCCCAGATCGTTTCCTCCCCCCTTTCCATCCCTTCCATCTTACCGTCCCTCCCACCCTCAGGTGATCACCGCCCACCTTTTGGGGTTGCAACGAGCCAAGCAAGATCCAATGTCACAAAGCTTGTTTTTCTGGTCCTTTGAAAATCCCCAAGACGTTGACCCGCGTACTCCGTATTTGCTGCCACTATTTAAACACCTTGTGAGAGGATTGTACGAAAGATACGCGGGATTGGGGATGTGATTGCAATCGTATTCGCTTCTACCCCACGCCATTTTTGATTTCTTAAACTTTGTAGTGTATGGATAAGCATAAAACCTACCTGAATTTGTGACCAAGCTTTCTCTTCGCTCGTTGCCAGTTGGATCACCTCTCGCTTTATCCCGGCCTGGTCGTATTCCTCGCTTTCGCTTTCCCTTGCCTTCTAGAAAGCGAGCTAAACGAGCTCCAAGGAGGAAAGCCAAAACGATTAAACTCCACCTTCTCGAGGGACGATTGGGGAACCTGGACTGATGCCCAAACATCAGATCAGCGAGACCCGGATCAGCAGGATGACGGTGATACTTCCTCGGTCCATGTAAGAATTGGAGCGTTCGAAATCCGAATCCCGTTGGACAGGATGGAAATATTATTTCCACAGGCTGGTTTGGTTTCTTGGTTCCTGTGACGTTGTGGGTGTACGACCTGTGCTTGTCTCTCAATCGGGTTCTTGATGCAGCAGCAGCTAAGCTTATCTGGCAGTCACAGCTTCGTTGTCGGCTCATTCCTGGAGGAGACTCGACGCTGATGCGGAGGTTTTCTGGTCTTTCGTATACGATTGGCCCAAACACGAGTTCGGTGAATAAAAGTAAGGCTGTTTTGGCACTGCAATTTCGACACCTCCAAAGAGGTCGAGGGGATCGGAGACGCTTCGACACAGGCTTTCTGATTTTATTAGCGGCGCGTGAGCACTGCATTTTTAACCCGTACCGAGAGGCTCTTGAATGCGACGTCCGGGGAAGAGAAAATAAGCAACAGAAATTCACCGCGTTTTTAGCTGCTCCTAGGAGAGTCACGGGTTGGGTAGGCGTATGATGTTCCTCAGAAAATGCCACTTGCAGCCATTCAGTCAAGTCATCTGTAGGATACTTTGAACTCCCCAGTGTATTGCGTACTCTTTTTTTAAAAAACCAAATCTACAAACAAGCCTCATCCGTTGTATCCCAATAGCAGTACTCAAAACAGTGTTGTAAATGGCAGATCATCTCGATCTTTCTTCTCCCCCGCTCTCTTCATCTCATCCAGGCCTCCCCTTTACTTCTCAATCTCAGCCTTAACCCAAGCCTCCAACCCACCCTTGGCAATAACCTCCTGCACATTAGGCGGCAGCTCGCCAACCTTGACGCTCCAGCTCTCGCCGCTGCCCTCGGTGACGATAACCTTGGACCGCCTCAGGTCCCAGCAGAGCTTCCAGCCCGTCCGGCGCGTAAGCACCTTGTCCTCGCCCTCGTTCTTGAACGTCTCGCGCAGGCGCTGCACGAGCTTGGGCACCTCGACGCCCATGAGGGCGTTGTTGATGCTGTTCCTGCTGAAAATGTTGCCGAAACTGCCGGACACGACGAGCGGGATCTTCTTGGCCAGGATGGCCGTCGCCGCCTGTTCGCGGGAGCTGCCGGTGCCAAAGTTGAAGCCGGACACGAGGATGTCGCCGGCCTTGGCGATGTCGCGGAAGGAGGTGTCGTAGTTCTCCATGCAGACTTCGGCCATCTTCTCGACGGAGACGTTGTCTTGGTAGGTGTACTTGCCTATTGTTTTTGTTAGAGGATCGTGTAGTTGAGGGTGTGAGTTCTCTCCGATTTACGTACCAGGGTAGATTCCATCCGTGTTCATGTTATCTTGGTCGCAGAAGATGATCTCGCCTTCCACCTTTTCGGGGAATCCGGGGAGGACCTCCGTGAGGCTGTCTTCCTCGCTCTCCGCGGCGGCAGCTGGTTCCTCAGAAGCAGGGGCGGCAGCACCGGCGACGCCCTTCTCAGACTCGGCAATCATGCTGTCGGCTTGCGCGATGAGCTGGTCGAGGGCGTCGTCGATGCTCATGGCAATGTCGGCGGTGATATCACCTACACCCTCGCCGATGATGACCTTGTCCACGCCCTGGGGCTGCTGGTACCAGCCGGGGCCGGCGATCTTGCCGTTCAACGCACTCGCGGCGACGACCTCGGGGCTGGCCAGGTAAGCCTTGGCCTCGGTGGAGCCCATGCGGCCCTTGAAGTTACGGTTGCTTGCTGAGATTCCGTTCTCGCCCCTGCGTGTCTGTTAGCCATCGTTGTCCAGGAAATTGCAGAAAAGATAGTACGAACGGTTCCAGAAGACCGGTTCCCTACGAAAGAAGATGTATTAGCATATTCATCATTCCTGGTTGAAGAGACAATCAACTTACGAGACCGATGCACGGGCCACATCCTGAAGGTAATACGGAGCAGCCTGCGTCGATAAGTGTCTGCCAGTCGCCAGCCTCCTCAGCAGCCGCCTGCTCCACAGTGGAAGCTGCGGCAAGGTAAAAAGAAACACCCGGCGCGATCTTGGCGG